ATATGGAAAATTTGTTCACTACGGTTGGTCTTGATCATTTTTACAATTCAAATGTTAACCTGAATAATTTTCAAATAGTTTTTTGGAAAGTTTGTTTGTAAAAGAGAATTTCATGTTATAAGAAATAAAAGCAGTTTAAATGCGTTCTCCAAAATTTAACCCTGCGCCTAGTAGACAGCCTTATTTGTCGCTCGATTTTAAATCTACATGTTTAAAATTGTTAGCACGAACAAACTGTTTACACATGAATCAAGTTTTGTATAGAATGAATATGAGCGAGACTCCCATTTGTCAAATGTGTTCATGTAAATCTGAGGAGTCCGTGGAACACTTCGTACTCGAATGTTCTGAATATACCCCTATACGAAAATAGTATTTTGCCGATATAAATTAGTACCTAAGTACTAACTTCCCCGACTTTTGCTTCACAGAGTTACCGTCCTACGAACAAATAAACATACTGCTAGGTGAATTTTTTTATCATGTTGATCCAAATGTTTGTAAACATGTGAACACTTTTAGTAAAAAGATGTTGAGTGAAATGTACACTTACAGGTCTTCGGTTTAAGAAAATTAAGCTGACTGTGATTTGCGTGTGCAATTAAATTGATGTAATCTTTAAATGTTGAGATTTTATCTTATAATGCTGTTATGTCTTTCATAAAAGGTGACTTGTTTTAAAGGGTATCAATTTTTAACTATGATATAGTCTTATGTGTCTTTTATTTTGTTTTACATTATTCATTGTATATGCTCTTAGACGCAGTTGTATATATATATATATATGTACCCTGCCTGCAAGTACCCTCGTTGTAAATGGGTAGTTTCTTAATAAATATATATATATATATATTTAAGGAATGACTGTAATATATTTTCTGTCTATGAAGAAATAACATCAAAAATGTGGTGCACACTGAATAACCCGCGTAGCGGGTTATTTTAAAGTGTGCACCACATTTTTTATGTTATTTCGAATAGACAGAAAAAAATATTACAGTCATTTCTTATAATTTAATTCTAAATTCCATTTTAAACCGGAGTAAACCATGAAAAAACGTTGATGACGTCACGGTCACATGACAAAATTATGTCTATGAGCTAAACAATACAATGTCAGCCAATCAGAAGACGCGTTACATCCAAAATTAAATTATATATATATATATAAGTCTAAAAATTTGCACAACGATACTAATATAAGATGGTATTATACCTCAAGCGAATATGTTCCAAGTGACAGAAACAACCAAATAACAACTACGTCAACTTGAAACCCGCTTGAAGAGAAGGGGATACAAACACAGAAATATCAAAAAAAGTTTTCAGAAAGCTGAATCAATTCCTAGGAGTAAACTTTTAGAATACAAAGATAAAAAGAAAAATAAAAGGACTCCATGTGTTCTCACTTACCACCCATCCCTCAAAAACAGCTTTGATGTCATTCGTGAGCATTGGAAAACAGTAACTGTTGTTCATTTAATCTCTTGATTGAGGAAATAAAAAAATGAATGAATGAATGCATATTTCGATCAAACTTTTCGGAGTAAATCGTGTTGACAAATATTTCGGCTTAACAAATAGCCTTCCTCAGTGCAGGAACATATATATTGAAAATTAAGTCAGTTTCAAATTCGGAAAAAACACTTATATCAGCTAAACGATAATATGGATAATGACTGTTTAATAGACATTTTTGGAAAAAGAAAAATGAAAAAAACAAAAAACAGGACTGTTTTAAAACATATATATAGGGCAATATCAAGGATATAATTTGAAGTGATTTAAAACGATTTTTTGGTAATATATATTTACATAACTATAGTTATTGTACATATTGTAATATTGTATTGTGTTATCTGTTTTGTAAACTTTTGTAATCTAATCTGTTAACATATAGTTGTTCATTGAATCTCTTGATTGAGGAAATAAAGAAATGAATGAATGAATGCATATTTCGATCAAACTTTTAAACTCACTAATTTTCGACTACATTATCAATTAGCAACTCGACAACTTTCAGTTTTGAAAGTTTTCGATCTATAAGCCGTTCGTGAACAGTGTAGATGAACAGAAATCGTCAGGATTGAAAAAAAGATATTCCGCTCGGATGGCAAAATGATACTTTTTCGGTAATGACAGTGAACGATGAGAGACTATGATGCACACTACCGAGGACTGTTCTTTACATTTTCTTTTTAGTGGAGTGAAGTTTCCCATAGAACACACCGTGTATGAGTTAACCAAAACTTGTAAGGTTCTCGATTGCTTTATATGCATATGTTCATAGTATTTCTTAAATACCAGATGGGTGGTATATGGTATTATCTGTTTCTTTAACATACTTATAAGAAAGAGTAGTTAAAAAACCACGCCGGGCGCCAACAATTCTATGATTCAGTGAATAAATTTTCTATTACGGCAGTAATGTATCTTCCTTTGTCGGATTATTGGGGTGTCGGACTAATGGGATGTCGGACCAATGGGGCGTCGGACTAGTGGGGTGTCGGAATTACGGGGCAACCCCAAAAAATTTACCAAGTGTCTGTCTGGCTATGTTTTTTTAAAAGAAAACTAATTTTAGTGATTTAGAAATAAATTATTTCTGTAAGGTTTGTCTTTATTATGTGGGTAGTAGGTAGAATACCAAACTAAGTAGGGGATTTTATAAAAAGGTCTCCAGGGCCGTAACTAGCCTCTTTTAAAAGTGAGGCAAAATATATTCGCCGCTCAAGGCCCCAGAAGCTCTGGAAAAAATGACGCAAAATTGTGCATTCTGAGCGTTTCTCGGACCCGTTCTTAATCAGAAACGCAAGTTTTGTTTTAATTATGTTTTCGACAATATTCTGGTCTCAAAGCAAAATATATAGATTCATTGTAATACTCTTAGCTTTTAGGGACAACATCAAAAGACCGATAAACAGGATAAAGCAAAAATCGTATGTCACATAATTAAAGTGTGTGGCTGCTGTTTTTTTTTTTTTTTTTTTTTTTAATTGAGTTTCGGCTTGCAGAAAACGTATTGTACCTGTCAATTATTTCTTTTTCAAATCAAGTTAAGAGGGGCTGATTATCATTTATTTAAATATGTGAATTAAGATTTTATAACGCATTTCCATAAATACTTGATGTAGTTCCTAACTGAGATAAAAGGGTACACTCAAGTTAGACTCAGGAAAACTGTTCTTAGACCTCATTGCTACATTTTATACCGGCTGATTAATGTCGGATCTGTCTGTTCTGTTCTGTTCTGGTCTTGTATTGTGTTTAGACTTCGGTGTATTTTTGTGTGACTTTGAAATTTATTCACAGTACAATACTTTAAGTACCGCTCAAGTCGACGATAGGGGCCGTCTTGACCTTGTTGTAGGGTATGAATGATTCTTTCATTGTTGAAGAACCTCAAGCGACTGTCAAGATGAAGAACAGGAATAAAAACCCTGTTCATTGATAATTTGTACTTTTTCTATGTAGTGTGTGCGATTTTGTCCATTGCACATTTACTCCATATCCCTTTATTTTCTATTTAAGGGCCTGAACACGGCTTAATGCAAGTTTAGCCCTTCAATGTAAAAGGTCGTATGGCAATACGTGATTTTTCTTTTTAAATGATTTGATTCCGGGAGATTGGTTGTCTCACTTTAATTTAACCCATGTCAGCTTTTAAGTTTTATTTACAGAAAAGAGAGCCAGTCTTGTATTCTTTAATATAAAGTTTAATTTTCCATGAAAACAACGACCAATTTTTCCTTGTCCGGTAGCATCGAATCTTCTCAAACCATTTTTTTCGACATCGGTGGACATGCAACATTGCCAAACCACACAACCTTTTACCCGTCATCGTTGATCTTTCCCAAGTCTTAAGTCTACTCAAAGCAGAGAATGAACGTTTACAACATACATATGTTACGAGAAGAATCAACAACTGCTTAATATTGGACAACTGAAGCGTTAGTCATAAAGACTGATTGATTGATTGATAGATTAATTGGTGTTCGCTTAACGCCGCCTCAGAACAAAAAAGCGAGAGCTAATTTCAAATATTTTTACAAGTTAAAGTAGGCTTTAAAATTAGACAAAATGTCTTTACAAATGAAATTCAACACTAAGACAATAGTCATAAAGAAGGGCAATAAACGAACAAAAGACAAACCCGGTAACAGATAGACCATCAACACTGAAAACTAAAAATAAATCAGGAACATGGATCCCGAAAAACAGGGGACGACGTCAGAGGGTGAACAGAACTTGCTTCTTGCAAGACACTCGCCTTGAAAACAATTTGATATGAAGACAAGCTTTTGTTTCAACTTATAATTTTTTTCTCGAAAATTTCAACATGAGGCATTTGCCTCATTTGCCTCAATGGCTTTGTAGTTACGGCCCTGCAGCCGGTTGTACGAACGTGTCATAAGTCTAATGAGTCATTAAGTCTTCATTAGTCTAATGCATCATAAAGGCTTAATGAAGACTTAATGACCCATTAGGCTAATGCCACGTTCGTAAAACCGGCTGCTGGTCTCAAAATATTTTTTACAGATAAGATAAGATAAGATAAGATAAGATAATTTTATTGGTTCAAAATCCAAAACTATAGGATTGTTACCAAGACAATACAAAAACATACAAACAAAATCTGACCACATTTATAAACATTATATATATATAACTGTATATCCCCTCCATTATAAAAAGAAAATATTGTTACAATAATAAATGAATGTATATAATCTCTGCTGAGGAGGTGGTACCACAAAGTTATTAAGAACTCAATAAAGCATTTCTAGAATTATACATGGTGCTTATGAATTTTACAATAATTCTAATTATATCAGTCTCACCACAGGTATACAAAAATTTAAATCTTGCTTCATTAGTCATATTTAAAAAAGAGGGAACTATTTCACTAATTTTGGAATTAGTGGAATTTTTACAAGATACTGCGGATTCCGGAAAGAGTTATATTCATTCCGCAATCGTATCGCAATTAGAAATTTGACCTTCACCTATATGCAATATTTGGCGTGGAATGGCTAAATAATTATTTTATCGATATATTTAAGTATGAATGCTACTTAAGACAGTATTCCCAATTATTTGTAAGTATCTGAAAAACGACAGTTTTGTCGCCGTCGAATTTTGTATTCTGATAATTTGAAACTCTGTTTTCTAAAACGAAATTATCTCAAAACTTCAAACAGGGGAAATTATCTCAAAACCTCAATTCAGGTATAATCCACCATTTGACATATAATGGGATACACCAATTGAGGTATAATGCAGTTTTTATCCAAAAAAAAAAAAGTAAGATTACACTCTTCTACAGCTACAGCTCATGTTATGCCTCATCATATTCTTGTCTCTGATGTCAAAATCACCAATACTGTAGACCATCATGAATATCCTCAATTTACCATTATAAACAGATATAATATATCAGACCATCAGATTATCCTGGCAAACTTCAGATTACATATAAATCTTAAAAGGATTTTCACAAGGAATAAATGGTAAACAATCATATCATCTTGCATATCTATCCATGCTACTTATAACCATAGCAAACGACATAAACCTAAATCCAGGCGAAGACACAACAGTATTTCTATGCGGAACCTGTGACGAACCTGTTACATGGGAAGACAAAGGTATGTGTGATACCTGTAACCAGTGGTACCATACCACCTGTCAGTCAGTCAGCTCTCGAACATACAACATCTTAGTAGAGGACAGTGCAATAGCTTGGGACTGCCTTATCTGTGACTGTCCTAATTACAGTTCAGTGTGCTTTGACATATATGTTGCAAAATTCTAGAACACATTATAACAAGCAACATAAGGAAACATCTTACAATTAATAACATATTAAATGATAGTCAACATGGGTTTAGAAGTAAAAGGTCTTGTGAGACCCAACTTATCATCAGTTTACAAGATCTTGCAAAATCATTGGGATATGGTAACCAAATAGATGTTATACTTTTAGATTTTTCCAAAGCTTTCGATAAAGTCCCCCATCAAAGATTAGCCCAGAAATTAAACTTTTATGGTATTAGGAATCAAAATTTAAATTGGATAAATGACTTTTTAGCTGACAGGCAACAGCAGGTACTATTAAATGGTGTTAAATCTTCAAAATTAGCTGTTGATTCTGGTGTCCCTCAGGGAACAGTGTTAGGCCCAACATTATTTTTACTCTTTATTAATGACCTACCCGAACATGTAACTTGCAATGCAAGACTTTTTGCAGATGACTGTTTATTGTATAGAAATGTTAATAATAGTTATGATGCCAAATTACTTCAAAAAGATTTATCTAGTTTAGTACAATGGGAAGAGGACTGGCAAATGAATTTTAATCCTGAGAAGTGTTATGTTATTCATGTTTCTAAAAAAGTAAACCTTCCACTTTTGATTATATATTGCACAATCATGTTTTAGAAGCAGTAAAAGACAGTAAATATTTAGGCGTAACTATAAGCCATGATCTTGATTGGGGAACACATATAAACAATATTACCTGTAAGGCAAATAAAACCTTAGGTTTTCTTCGTTTCTTCGTAGGAACTTAAAAAACTGCACACGTACACATCACTTGTCCGTCCAGTCGTCGAATACTCTTCCCCTGTATGGGATCCGTACAAAAAGCAACATATCACTCAGGTTGAGCAGGTACAGCGTAAGGCAGCCAGGTTTGTCTTCAATGATTATAAAGACAGATCACCTGGAGCAGTTTCAAATTTAATTAAATCATTGGAATGGGAAAATTTAGAAATAAGAAGGAAAAAAGCTAGATTAACTATGCTATATAAAATAAATTGGGGGTTAGTGGAAGTTCCTAAGGACAATTTAACAATATCTGATAGACGTACTAGGGGGAAACATAAATTTAGGCAAATATCAACAAATAAAGATTTCTATAAATTTTCTTTTTATCCTCGCACTATTTCGGACTGGAACTCACTACCTGAAGCAATAGGTATCTGATATTTTTCAATTCCTTTTGATGAACCTTAAAATTGAAGTGTCTAACATGAAGCAAGTGTCTGGAGGCTGTCTTTGAATTCTTCCAATGTGGAAGCTTCAAAGCTGTGACAAAAGCAGATGGTAGTTCATTACATAGACGAATTGCAGAAGGAAAAAATGATTGCTGGTGGTTTTGTATTCTCGAGAAGGGTAGTAGGAATCTGGTGTCATGTCCTCTTGTTGTTACGCTACACCCCTCAGTATTAAGTATTGTTCTGGTGGTATTGCAACACGATGGTGTATTCTGCGGGAGAGCATGATGTCTTTACTCTCTTCCTGGGTTCTTGTAATTCGACCCATTGCAGGGCTTCTAGTATCAAGGTTACACTACTGGTGGTTCTGTAGTCGCCAGTTACAAAACGTGCTGCTCTTCTCTGCACCATTTCTAATTCTCTAAGTTATTGGATCCTAAATGATACAAGCATACTCCATAAATGGTCTTACTAGTGTGATATAAAATTGTACTTTGATCTTGTTTGGACTGGAGCTGATACTTCTTCTCAAGAAAGATGTGATGTTGTTTGCTTTCTTCGTTACTGTGCCCATGTGATAGTTCCATGATAAGTTGTGGCTGATATTAAGGCTTTGGTATTTTGCGTTCTGTACTAATTCTAATGTCTTTCCATGTATGGTGTAGTTCTCGGTAATAGGTTTCCTTTTGTTTGTACCTAGCACTTATCCGCACTAAACTAGAGTACTCTTGCTCAGTCCGGGACGCCCACACTGCAGAATTAGTATCAAATATTGAAATGAGCAAGAGGCGAGCTGCTTGATATGTTTGTCGGATATTAATATCAGATGATATGAGTAAGGTATCTAATTGGCTGAACACACTAGATACGTGGTCTTCCATCTGGTGCTTTTTCTAGGAATTTAATGTCACAAAGCGAATATCTTCACATCACAATGGCCCATGACCATGATGACATTATACCCAGAATGATCCCAGGTCAACCAGGGAGGTTCATTTAAAAAGTCAAAATTGGAATCTCATGTATTTGCTACCATTATCAGCATGTAGACTATGCACAAGACTTTTCATGATGTTCATTGTACAAGATCTCCTATATCATCTAGTCACAATTCCATCAGACACCATTCTTACACCTGCAGATTGAAGAATCAGAAATCTTCATCACCTCGCTTTTAGACACATATATACATTATAATCCTCTGTGCTGATGATATCATGCATGACTGTTTTAGTCTTATGAAGGGACAGAAAAGATTAAAATTAATATTTTCAAGCATAAATTTATAATCATGATAATTGCAATCGCATGATTAAACATATTCAATAATTTTCTATAAAAATTATGACATCATTAGTTTATCAATGTTTATAACATATTGGTTTCATTTTAAGGCAAACTATATTAAAATAAAATAGAATTTGCTCTGCGTCCTTGGCAGTCTGTTTGGTTCATTCATTTTGTCATTTAGAACTGTAGTCTGTTCAAACAGAACTGTGTTTACAGTGTTTTGTAGTATAAAATTTTTCCTTTGTTCAAAATTTACTGATTTTAGAAGACATGCGCAAAGTCACCTGATATTTAAAAACCTGTCAAAACAGGGGTTTCCTTAATTTTGGACACACATTACACAAAATCTTAAGGGTGAAATCTTACATTAAGAAGATTTCATGAAATTAAAGTATAACATGAATTTGTTCACTCAATATATCCAATTATTCATGGATTTATGAGTTAACCAAAGTAAAGCCAAAAGCCTCAGGTGTGTGGATACAATGGACTGCACCTTACATCTATAGATACATACAAGCACTCATTTTTTCGGTTTACAATACCCCAATAGAACACACTACCCATTTCAATAAAACAGTCTCTCTCAGTAGATATCTTTATTGAACAGCCTATTTTTGCTGTTCTCTGTACTTTCAATTGAATATAAAACCTTCTGTACATAATTTTAACCACTTAATTTATTTTCAAATATTGTTGATAAAATAAAGACATGTACATATGTATGTGACAAACCTCAAGCCTATGTGTGCACCTTTAATCTACTGAATGTTTTAGGGAAGAAATCACTAGAGAAGTTCTTGATACTTGCCCATACCCACATCTGTACATGTACATGCATAATTTACAACTGGGTTTTATCTTATATGTCTTAAAAAACTTTTTAAGTTGAAAAAATTGTTTAAGATTGTCACAAAAAAAAAAAAAAAATTAAGGGAGATGTAAACAATAAAATTGAAGAAATTAACACTGTGCAACCAGGCATGTTATTGACACTGGTCCTAGGCCTCTAATTGTAGGGATTTTCAGCCATTGAAGTAGTCAATTATAACCTCAGCATACCTACCTTTATATGTATTCTGTCTGCCTACTCTAATTACAATGAATTAGAATGATGAACAATCTTAAACTTTTTGTTTCAGATTTTTTTGGCAGTAGAGGAATAGATTTTGGTTAAAATGGATGTTTACCTACCAGATAGAGGAAGTACAGTATCCATGGATCATTGTTATTCCAAACCATGGAGTGCTCATCCAGATGCCAGTAATGCTAGGCCAATTAAAAAGTTATATATGCCGAAGCTACCACATCTTACACCAATGCATGTACAAAACAGGTAATGATATCAATAACTGTCATAAAATACTAGTACTGTAAAGATACACCTACCTAATGATACGATACGTATTCAACATTCAACAGCAATGCCAGCCATTTCATAGAGACGTTTAATTTGAAACAAACCTATAGAAAATTATACACTAGTAGCAAGATTTAAGTCTGAAACGGTCATTTTGGTCTGATCAAGTCTTAATCGCCTTGATTTACTGCTAGGGAAAAACGTTAAGACCGGTTTAGACTTTCAGACTCTGTTCCGATATATCGTGTTCAGTCATATCAGTCGGGTCAAGATAAACAAGACAGATTCTTCTAGCGTTCAAATAAGACTTGATTAGATCACGTTCAGATAAAATAAGACCAAAGGTAAAAAATCGGTTTAGTTGCTGTAAGATCGTGTTCAGTCGTGTTAAGATTTTAAATATTTTAAATAAAACGAGCGACACTTTATCTGTGTTTATCAGGGGTTACTCCCCTTTATGAATAAAATCGGCATAGCTAGGAGGATATTCTTTTGTGGTCTTTTAATGTAATACTGTATATCTATTTCATTAAATAACGTATGCAAACGTACAATTCATTTTTTCCCGATAGAATTTTTAACATTTAATTGGTTATATAAGAAAAGATTAGTTGTCTTAACCGGGAAATGTGTTTGTCATTAAAACTTTACAGTCGTGCTTTCTGACATAAAGTAGTCCTGTATTTATTCATTCCGCCCGTAAAGATATAATGATAAGTAATATATCCCAAAGATGTTCTGAAATTTTCTTAAACATTTTTTGTTTCTAATGTTAAATAATAGTTCTGATTCATATACAATTTGTCAAGAAAAATATATTCTAAGTATCTAATTTACTTTAAATTTTTAAATATTATACAGATGACAGTTGCTTGGTGAAAGTTATTTACATTTCAATAAACGGATTATCTAAGCAGTCAACCGAAACGGGTTGTCATAAACTATCTAAATAATTACCCATGCAACGCTTATGATGTTTTATCTATGGACGTAAAATGAATAAAGTTCCATGTTTTATCTTATATAAGGATTTACCGGGTAAAATTATTACATTGACAAATAAAACATTATTTTTTCAAAAAAAATGCAACAAGAATAAAGAATATTTTAAGAATTTAGTTGACAGTTTATATTTACCATTAGGTACCTATAAAGACCGATTTCGATACCTCTCTTGATTTTTTTTTATCATCAAGTTTTTTTTAGCAAGAACTAATACAAGAATAAATCTTATAGAAAAATATCAAACAACGATTGATAAAATCTTGTGTACGGTTTATATTTCTGTTTCGTATCAGATTTTTTTTATAACACCAGCGTTACTTCTCATTTAAAAAACAGTGAGATGCTTACTTGCTTTTTCGAAATTGACCAAAAAGCTATAGAATAACGTAGCGAAATGACTGTACTTATAGATTATACCTTTGTTTTTCCATTTTGAATTGTTTTACACTAGTCATTTTGGGGACCCTTATGGCTTGCTGTTCGGTGTGAGACAAAGCTCCGTGTTGAGGCCGTATTTTTAATCTATAATTGTTTTATACTTTGTAACTTGGATGGAGATGATTATTTGGCACACATACATCTATGTTTATATTAACCAGGAGCAGTTTATAATATTTTCATTTCGATAAAAAGAAATATGCAATTCAGTAAATCAAATCGATTTGTACCATATTGTTACATTCAAAAGTCTTTAACTGAAGTAAATGATTGATAGAAATACATTATTTGTATTGCATCGCTCCTAAAATAATGTCCAGTGTCAAATATTACACATCGATGATCACTTAGATGTTCAACTGATTCAACCAAAAATTAAACTTAGGACTAGGATCAAATGCAATTCATTACGTTACAATTGTATCCAATATTAATATTGCTAATAACATTCAGTCGAGGAAAAGACACATGTGACATTGATATGCATTGGTTTGTTCTAGCCTGATACGGCGAGCGCGTGTCGACAAAAAAGGTCATGTTTACAAGAGAACAATTGTTGTGAATCAGAGCCAAATTGACCTTTGTTCCAACTTTACTCATAAATAATGCGTGCTTGTGGACAAAAGGTCACAGACGAAAGGTCACAATTCAGTTTCTGAGACTATTTTCTTTGAAAAAGAGAAAATACTTATTTAAAAAAATATATTTTGTATGTATCTTGAACTATTGTATATATAAACCAACTCTGTAAACAAATGTATTAAATGAACAAATAATTGTTTAGTAAACAAACTATCAAAGTGGATTGGTACCTAAACAGCTTCATGGTGCTAAGAAATATTATATCATTTGCATGATTAAAATTTAATAAATCTTCATTTACCAAGGCTAATGAACAATTTCATAAACTGTAAAAAGAATATATGTAATACAAAGTAAATTTTCAAGATATTTCTCTTACATACTTAAACAATTGTCACTTCCTGTCCTGTGACTTTTTGTCCTGTGACTTTTCAGTGTTTGCTTACTGTTAAGAATAGGACCTCCCTTACCCAGGACCTCCCTTACTAATGGAGAGAAAGCTGTCGGGACTACCAATCCTAAGTGTTAGAGAGAATAAAAAGTACATCAGTCATTCTCAATTTTATATGTTTTGCGTAAAACAAAACGGTTTTAAATGTTGAATTTAAGGAATGCTCGAATTTAAAAAAATAAATCTTTTTCGTTTGCTTTTCGTTGAAATCATCCTGAATATTATGTAATATTGTACGCTGAACATTCAACAATCATGGCCAAGCATGTGTTCTTCAAAATGCAATCTGTAGAAGAAAAAACACGGTTTTAAATCATGTACATTGGAAATCAAGAATCGTGTGTCGTGTTCGACCTATAATCCTTTATTAAATAGTCGAAATTGACTATTAATATATAGTTTTGTTTTGCACCTACATAACTCTATATATGCATGTTTTTGCCACTTTGCTTGGAAAAATTATCATATATCTTAATTCTCTTTCAATAACATTTCCTTATTCAATTTGCTACTCGTCTACCAAAAAAAAAAATAGATATTGTTTCATTTTTGCCATTTTGGTTATAATAAGTTCTTGGTAGATGTATGTCCTTTATGATCTCTCAGGTAAATATCAAAAATGAGTCCTGAGTTTTGACGGTTGTGAATTAAGGATTAGTTACTTTATGGAACACTTATTTCCTTGGATGGTAGTACAAACTTGTATTTTATCCTTTAAAGTTAGTATGCCTGTTTAATAATTTACAGTTTTAAGGAGAATTCTTCGTCTTTTGCAAATAGATGAAGAATAAAATGAAAATTTGCTTTCGATTGCATTGAGGCAGAGAGAAATATGTTTTGTTATATTTCAGACGATTTTTAGTACGGATATTAAACTATAATTCTTAATCTCTTCCAATTTACAAATATAATTTGGTATTGTTTTTTCTGCAAATGGTAGATGAAACTTGTATGTTCTAACTTTTTCAGAGGTCTGTGAAATCTTGAAAATATGACGTTCCCGGAAATCACAAGTCGCTATATAGAATGCTTGTAAAATTCAGAAACTTGCAGTACGCTCATATTTAATACTTTCTGTTAAAAAAGAAAGTGTAAAAATAAGAAGGCGAAAACGGGAAAAGGGGAGGGTTGTTACACGAACACTTTCTTCGCAATTTAATTCTAAACGAATAGTGATTATCTAACTTTTTGTTCAAATATCGAATACACAATCAAATCTCTAACTTATCCACGCTTGCAATAACCTTTTTATTGACAGGTTTCTGCTGGCATTTGATTGGACAACAGTTTAATGTAGGCGTGACAATCTATCACATTTATCCAATCAGCTGTCTTGTTAAACAAACCTGTGTGCGATGACCCACTGTCCACATAGTTTAGTTTAGAGAGTTTAGTTGTTTTTTTTATAATGAATTGATCATCAAAAGGACGTTGTTGCTATTGTTGGCCAGGGACTTTCTATACTAACGAAAAAGTCCATGTGTGTGCTTGTCAGATAGAAATAGACAACGCTTATATTTAAGAATAAAAAAAGTGATGAAAAAGAAATATTACTATGCATTGGATGGATATTTAGACTAATTCACTAGCTGTATTATACAGACGGAGAAATAACGCCACGTGTAGCCAGGATAAAAAAAAATGATGATTTTAATTATGCTAAAAATGATATATTATCCAATCAAAGGGGAAGCGATATGTCGGCTCCTGAATCCGCCACTGACCAAGCAAATTACGACATAATTAAACAATTAACAACCTTGTAAAAAAAATAATAGAAAAGCGTCTTTTTTATCCCTTATATTTTATGATATTTTGTGGACAATATAAATCTTAAATCAGTGTTTCAAAGTCATATCAGATAAAAAACATAATTGCAATTTCTGCCACAAAAAAAACGTATTTTAGAATCACGAAATAATTGAAATCGAATTTGGATTAGTTTTGTGCTCAATGGAATTTATTAAGACTTTAAAATATCTGTTCCTTTATATTCGCTATTTTGAGATCGAATTTAATGAGGTTCATATATAAGTATGTGCCAAAACAGAAAAAATACAGTTGCAAATCAACGGGTACGTCTAAACACTGCCCAGGACCTCCTGAGTGCACTCAGGACATACAAAGTGCACCCAGGACTCTTTTAAAGTCATCGTATATGCACACAGGAAAAATGTTTACATTCTTTTCACATTGTCTATTTTAGTGGAAACTTTTGGAATATTTTGAAAACGAACTTAAATAGATATTCAATATTTTTATAAAATAATGAGGGCACGTGTCACTGATTCACAACTACTCAGCCGTGAATAATCCAATCAACAAAATTGATTGGATTATCCTTATTGCTTATGAATATTCAGATTCAATATTTTATTAATCTATCTTATGAATATTATGTTATTGAAACAGTGTTTTTTATAAAAATTTAATAATGCGAAATTTTAAAGTTTTTTCGAAATTGATTTATGTAATTAAATACTTTGTGTATTGACTTTAA